CCCCCGCCAAGGTCCCCGGCCCAGCGCCTACCCTCGCCCAGCAACAGGATGCGCACGTCCCGCCTCATGGCTGTGCCTGGTGCCCCGCCCTCGGCCCCCGGCCCCCGGCCCCGGCCGCAGCCCAGACCCTCCACAGCCTTCCTCCGGGCGTTCTCCTAGCGCCCTCACTTCCGGTTCCCACCGCGGTGCTTGAGGGACACTTCCGGCCCCGACAGCGCAGCCGCATCAGCGAGCCCTGCGGGGCAGAGGAGTCGAACTGTGCGGTTGCGCCACCACACGGGCGAGCCCAACACTGCAGGTGACGTGGGCTCAGGTTTGGAGACCTGAATGGCCCTCCTAGCTGGTAAGTGGAGCGACAGGGCCTTTGACTAGGAATTGGGCGGGCTGGGGGAGATGACTTCAGGACTGGAGTGACCAGCGGAGGTGAAAAATGGGGCAATAATGAAACAACGTAGCACAATGTAATAAATGTGCATGTTTATTTAAATTCTAAAAGATAGGAACATCAACAACTCCTTAGAGTAAAAGGCAACAGGTCTTTTTTAGTCCTGGGGATAGAAACCAGGGCCTCATACATGCTAGACAAGTCTCTGCCACTGAGCTACATCCCACGCCCTATTGTCTGTTCTGGTCACTCGAATTCAAAGGAGCTTGGTGCTGATGACTTAAGAGTCCCAGCCTGTCCAGGTCATCTGGCTCTGTATGCCACGATCCCAACCTGGCTTTTCTGTGGGTGCCCAGCAGGCCATCAGGGACCTAAGACTGCAGTTACTCTGCATCCATGGCCCATGACCTCCCACACAAGGATCTCATTGTGGGCAGCTGTGAAGAGCAGCCTGGCAGATGGGGTGAACCTGCACAGATGCACAGAGTCATCATGGCCGGTGAAGTCCTGGGCTACCCCTGACATGCAATCCAAGAGCCTCAGTGTGCATTCTGTGGGTAGACAGCAAAGGTGAGGAGGGCTAGGCAGTGCTCAGTGACCCCCAACCCTCCCTGGCCATGTCCCCAGCTAGGCATGGTGATGGCATCAGGAAACCTAAGACCAGAGGGGTCAGGGCTGTAATCTCCACATGCTGGGCCCCACTGTGGAGGTCTTGGCAGGGTGAGGCAAGTCCTCCTTGGTGCTACAACTAATCTCCCACTCATACCCAGTGCCTCCCGCTCTGTCTTCTGAGCCTGTGATGCTCTGGGACAAGTGCCCTCACACTGCTTCAGGAGTAAGCATCCTGAGGCACATGTAAACTGCCTGTCTGGGAGGCAGGTGAGCCTGCCTGGCCCCACCTAAGACAGGCCCAAGTCTGTACCCACCACACTCACCAGCAAAGCCAATGGCTATGAAGCGTGCCCCTGGAGACAGGCTCAGGGACATGGCAAAGAAGGGCAATGACATCTTCTCCACCACCTGTGGGGCAGCTGGTGTGAGGCTAGGGGTCTTGGCCTAGGCAGGGGGCACTCCCACTTGGGGCCCAACCCAGGCTCCCTTGACCCCATGATGCCTGGGCTGCTGGCCCAAACAGGTATATACACACACCTGCTTCTGGCGGAGGCTGTAGAAGACCACCTCTTCATGTGCACCGAGGCCCACGCACACCAGCAGTGCCCCATCCCAAGGGCAGAAGGCAGCAAGGGAGGGTGGAGGGAGGCCTGAGGTCTGAAGAGGGATGCAGCATGCTGTGGTGAAGTGGGCAGGCACTGTTCCCCCAACCCTTCCTTTTTTTTGTGGGGGGACTGGGGATTGAACTCAGGGGCACTCGACCACTCAGCCACACTCCCAGCCCTATTTTGTATCTTAGAGACAGGGTCTCACTGAGTTGTTAAGTGCCTAGCCTACCTTTTTTTTTTTTTTTTTTGCTGAGACTGGCTTTGAACTCACAATCCTACCCCAGCCTGGGATTACCAGAATGTGCCACCACACCCGCCCCCCCACCTACACACACTTTTTTTGTGGTGCTGGGGATTGAACATGTGCATGTGAGGCAAGCACTCTACCAACTGACCTATGTCCCCAGCCTCCCAGCCCCCCCCCACACTTTTTAATCTTTATTTGTTTTATGTTCTGTTAAGAATCAAACCCAGTGCCTCACACGCGCCAGGCGGGCACTCTACCACTGAGCCACAATCCCAGCCCCACCACTGGGATGCTTACCTCCAAGGTGGCAGGTGCTGGGAAGCTCAACCAGTCCAGGAGGTCGCAGCAATCCCGCAGCCAGTCAGAGGCCCAGACGCTGATCCTTTGGTCCCCGCTAGCAGCCAGCCACAGGTCTGTGCCCTCCACCCCTAGATCTCCATACTGGGGAAGTGAGGGCTGTGGGCACCTCCTGCCCCATGCACCACCCTCCCGCCCTGACACAGCCCAGGACCCTCCCACAGCCTGCTCAACCTTTTTACTTGTGCTCTGGATGGTAGAGATGGGGGCACCCTGGTGGTCACTCAACACACGGAAGGTTATCCCTGTGCGGAGGCGGCTCACAGCCACAACCCCATCCTTGTCTCCAGAGAGGATGGTTTGACCTGGGCCAGGTGGGAACATGGATACCTTGTGAGTCAGACCCCAACCTGGAGATCTGATCTAGGCCTGGGCAGGGGAAGCCACTGCTGCCCTGTGCAGTCTTGGTCCTCACCATCAGTGGAAAAGGCCAGGGCCATAAGGGCAGCCCGGTGGGGTTGCATCTTGAGCTCCATTGAGGTACGGGCAATGCTGAATACGCGCAGTGTGCCATCGCTGTAGCCAGCCACCACCTGCTGCTGCTCTGGATGTCCACAGGATGAGGGGCTCCATGCAAGACAGAGGCAGCTCTGGACATCCATATAGGGGAGATCAGCACTACCCCACGGACAAGGCCAAAGTCAGAGGGAGGGCTCAGCAGGCAGGATGCATGGTGGCCTGGGCCCTGACATACCTGGTTCAGCACCTGGAACTGAATCACCAGCTCCATGCTGGCCAAGGACCACACCCGTACACTGCCGTCCTCACCCCCTGTGGCACAGTGAGACTCGTCTGGACTGAAGACCACCTCGTTCACCTGTAGAACCCGGGCAGCTGGGTCTGGGCCTTTCTTTTCTTTTTTTGGTACTGGGGATTAAACCCAGGGGCACCTAACTATTGAACAACATGCCCAGCCAGCCCCCTCCCCCACTTTTTTAAATGTAACTTTTTTTCTATAGCTTTATTTATTTATCTATTTATTTATTTATTTGGGTCAGGGGATTGAACTCAGGGGCACTCAACCATTGAGCCACATCCCCAGCCCTATTTTGTATTTTATTTAGAGATAGGGTCTCACACAGTTGCTTACTGCATCACTATTGCTGAGGCTGGCTTTGAACTCATGATTCTCCTGCCTCAGCCTCCAGAGCCCATGGCATTACAGGCATGTGCCACTGCGCCCAGCTACCTTATTCATTTATTCTTATGTGGTGCTGAGGATTGAACCCAGGGCCTCACATGTGCTAGGCAAACGCTCTAACCATGGAGCCACAACTCCAGCCCTTATTTTTTATATTAGTGACCCTATCTCACTAAGTTGCTTAGGGCCTCATTAAGTTGCTGGGGCTGACCTTGAATTTTCGATACTTTTGCCTCAGCCTCCCAGGTGGCTGAGATAACAGGCCTGGCCACTGTGCCTGGGCTGGGGCTGGGCCTTTCTGATCTAAGCTTCCAGGGTCAAGGCAAGAATACCCTTCTGCTGCCCAAGTCTGCCTGGTCCACTACACCCACATGGGTGGACCCCACATGCTCCTAGGACTTGGGATTCCACAGAAAACCCTGGCAGCATCTGAGACACAGTGATGTGACTTGTCTCCAGAGGGATGCAGATTGCAGACGAGCCCAGCAGACACCCCTGCTGTTGTGGTGGTCATGACAGTGGTGGCCTGCAGTGCTCAGCACACATCAAGGCAGATAGCAGATGTGTCAGCATGCAGCTGCCAGTTGGCAATTGAGATTTTGGAGAAAGGGTGGCACAGATGCCACACTCCAATGTGGCACAACCAAACAGCCTGGAGCTGAACCTGTTTTGGGTACCCGTGTGAATTCTTGATATGTCTCACCCAAGAGGACTCAGGGTGCAATAGTTCAAGAGGCAGAGGGCTGGCCTAGCACGCATTCAACCCCAGCTCAGTTCAGAAAAGCAAGAGTGGGCCCAGAATGTGGCCTCTGAGCCCTGCAGTCCCACACCACCTGAGTGCCACCAGTGACAACCAGCTCAGCTCAAGGACTCGGGACACACATGGTATGCCAACACACTGGAAGTACTTGGCCATAAAGTGGGAGCACTAACAATAGCGACAGCTGGGATGCACCTGAGGACGGGTGCTCAAGGAGGGAGGCTGGACACAGTCCACTCATAGGAACTGTCCAGAAAGAGCACATCCATGTGGACAGAAAGCCAACTTGTGGCTGCCAGGGCAGAGAGGAGGGGAAATGGGGACACTGACAGGTATGAGGTGTTCTTTTGGGGTGATGAGAATGCTCTGACATTGAGTGTGTAATGATTGATAACTCGATGGAAGATGCCAGAACCACTGACTTTAATGGGATGATGGCTGGGTATGGGGTG